AAAATTATTAATTTAATCACATAGTCATTAAGAAACCTTCGCTAGAAGATGGAAAAAATATCAAAATTTAAAAGGATCGTCACATGTTTACGTAGTACAGTCAATCAAAAAAGAGCAAAAAATAAACCCGATATTTCTCCAGCCGAAATTGAACATGCGGCTTGTCTAGAGATGCTGAAAATCACTAGGGCCGGTGAACTAAATCTCTGGTCCATACCGGTATAATTATCTTTTTGCATTAAATCTCTTTTTAAACCTGATATTTGTGCTACCTGATTGTCCGATTGAATTATATGTATTTCAATTTAATTGAATATTTTACATATCGCATAATTATTATTGTTCTTGTACGTACGTACTTTTTTTTATTTTTATATCGTAATAATGCCAAAGCTCATCATTTATACTTTCTTTGATAATATGAAGCTGTTTCTAGTATCACCAACCTAAAGAAACTTGAGTATCAAGTAAATTAAATCCAAAAATCAGGTATAATATAAAATCAAATCTCAAAACCAGGTACAATATAAAACCAAATCAAAAATACACCCAAACTTAACGTTAACGCTGGTAGCGAAAATTTTTTTAGATAGGTACCCTATATTTTACGACCAAGAGATGCGAAATAAAATTAAAATCGAGCCATCAACATTTTCAATATCCTTTTCAAAACCAATATTTTATGTTAATTCTTTTCAATTGGGTTAAAGTAAGGGTAGGTATTAGCAGGATTTTAATTTTTTTAATTGTTTTTTATATGCCAGATATTGTTCCAATGCTTCTAGAATTGAATAAAAATTCCTTCCTCACAAAGAAACACATTTCTTCAACGATTTCGTTAAGAAAATCACAGATCCATATATTCCATAAAATTCTCTCTTTTTTGACTCCGATCCCATTAAGATGATAGATACCATGTGTAAATATTCCAAATTCTGCAACACATTATAATAACGATAAAGAACGATTTGACCCATATTATCATTTTGATATCGTTAAGCAAAAATTGACAATTTCGTGCATTAGATTAAGATTATATCAGATCAAAATCTTATTTAGAGTTTCGTTAAATTAGGGTGTGTCTATTATCACTGGCAATTTCGATTCAAACACATATCAACAAAAAAAAAGGAAAATATGGTATGTGCATAGTTTAACTGATTTGTTAATTTTGGTCAAATAATATCAACATCTTCAATTTGAGGCACAAAAATAAATAAATATTTCTAATATATAATACAATATGATATGTTATTATATGACATAAACTGTATAACTGCACTAATAAAAATTGTACACATAAAGTGATATCTGGTATTTATTAAAAATGTTAGTAATGAGGATAAAATTCTATGATGCTATTGACAATGATCCTGGAAAAATCGGCCAAGTCAAATTATTGGTTTTCTGGCAATTTTTTGTTAGAACCAAATACTATTCTGACTCAGAAATATGGGCAAGGTTGAATAATTTCAACTAGCTGATTAAAATTTCTAAAATATCAAGTTGGTAGAATATCAATCAACGTCTATTCAATGTGTAAAAACAAGCCTTTGGACAAATATCACGTGCAGAATTTCGATCTACATATCTTTTTTGAGGGGGAAATTATCGACACAGCTAATGACCAGCACTAACTTTAACGACATGGCCAGTATTATCGTAAAGGTTAGTATTAGAATATGTCAGAATTAAGAAATTAGATCACGTGTTTCTATTCCTTTTTTTAATATTGATTATCTAACCGATCTTTTTTTTTTGTGGTATTTTGTTTATTTTTAAATAATTGACTCATCAAGATATATAAAAAAAGCTATTCAATAACTACAATATATAAAAATACAAAACACAAGGAAATATAATACTACTATATTTCCAAACTAAAAAAAAATGGAAGTGGCACCCCCAAAGAATGCACTCCGGAATTACTAGGATCTTGGTCTGGTAGGTAACCAAGGGACACTTCAACATTAACAAGAGTGTCGGTTGCCAATTTTTTTAATAAAAGTAGTCCGGTCTATGTAATAGGTTCACGACCAGTTTAGCTATAAAAAATCAAATATTATATTGTCTTTACTAATAATTTTGGTTTCTAATCGTTCAATTATTCGGAAATATTGTAAGGCATTGGTATTAAAGCGAAATGGTCAGTATGATAGATTCCCTCCCTCGATCTTTTTCAACATGAATACCGAATGAGTGTTACTGTAAGTTTTTTAACAACTTACATCAGAATTATAAAAATCTTTTCCTGCGCTCTTATGAATCGTCGGTGCTGTAGAATTATTGTACCGATCTTATGAAGCGAACCAACATTTCGGTTTGAGGATGTACCGCTCATAAGAGTACTCCTTCGATTTCTAAACGCTGAAGAGCAAGCGCAACTAATTCCGTGTGAGATAAATAGGGATGATCTTTTAAAAATCCTTAGTAAGAAAAATCTTACTTTGACCTCTTGATTTCGTTGAATATTGATTATAATAATCTTGGACCAGAAGGAGGGAAAGCATTAGTTGATGCACTTTGCAAGAATTGTACGCTAACTTCTTTGAATATTGAGGCGAACGATCTTGGACTAGAAGGAGGTAGATGCACTTTGTAAGAACACCGCATTAACTTTTTTGAATCTACATTATAATTATATTGGACCAAGTATGGAAAAGCATTAGGAAATGCACCCTGCACAATACCACACTAACTTCTTTAAATATTAGTACTAATAATTTTGGCTTAGAAGGAGAAAAGGCATTAGGAAATGCACTCTGTGATAATACCACGCTAACCTCTTTGAATCTTGGGTAATAATCTTAGTTTAGAAGGAGGAAAAGCATTAGCAAATACACTTTGCGAGAACACCACGCTAACTTCTTTGGATCTTTGGCAGAATAGATTAGGACCAGAAGGAGGACAAGTATTTGCGGGTGTGCTTTGTAAGAACTCTACGCTAACTTCTTTGAAACTTATTCGTAATAATCTTGAAACAGAAGGTGGAAAAGCGTTGACAGGTGCATTTTGCAAGAACTCTACACACTAAAAGATTTAGTTCTTTGAATAATTACCTTAGACCAGAAGGTGGAAAAGCATTAGCAGGTGCGCTTTGCAAAAACGCATTAATTTCTTTGAGTCTAAGAGGTAATCACTTTGGCACAGAAGAAGTAAATTATTAGCTGATGCACTTTGCAAGAACAATACGCTGAAATATTTGGACCTTCGCCATAATCACTTGGGACCAAAAGGCGAAAAAGAATTAAGCAATGCACTTTGCAAAAACTCCACGTTGATGACCTTAATAGTTACTGTTATGAAAAATGATCTTTTCTTAATGAGGAAAAGCGTCAGCTGTTCTTTTTTAGCACTTGCATTTACAGATGCACTTTACAAAAATATAATGCTGATTTTATTTGAAATGAAAAATTTATTTTTTCTTTATTTAATAAATTATATTATATCTTATTTAGTTTTATTAGCATTAATTATTAGTATAATATATCTTATTTAGTTTTATTTACATTAATTATTAGTATAATATATTCATTAAAGAAGGTCACTTCTATGTCTACTGCTACTGTAGTTTTTAGATAAAGTCATATTATCGACTTATCGATTACATGTTATATTTATATATGAAAAAAGGACGAGACTTGGCGTTTTTTAAATAAATGTTTATAATTAATGGTTTCCTTTTGAAATTCATCGAATATCTATTTCTTCACATGTAAGTTGTGATCCATTCATTTATCGACATTATTCCGCATGATATTATTAAAATCATGTGATAAATTCTCTGCAGAAGTAACTTCCTTCAATGCATACGTCATACTGCTAAATTAGTTATGGATTTCGATGAAATTATTTTGGTTTAATTCTATTAATGGGTCGAATTAATATAAAAAAAAAACTTTCATCGAATATGCCAGATAGCTACAAGAAAATTTCGCTCAAAGTTTTAAAAAAAATTGTCCTGTCGATTAGTAAATTAAGTATTTTTGAACTTTTTAAACCTTTGAGCTACCTGATTATCATTCTTTTTGATTTCTGAATCCCACGATTATACTATAAGAAAATATCTTTTATTAGTCGTATTCTTTGTAATTAATTTAACAATCAGTGATTACTCCTTATTTATTTCCTGATTTTCTTTTACAGGTTCCCTTTACTAGTGGTATATCATGAATACACAAGCAAAATCAGGAAATTTATTTATTTGTTTTTTAATGAACCACCCATTTAATTCAATGAAACTTTTCTTATTTTAATTCTATGAAGTTGTAAAAAGAATTTATCGGATTTGGATAGGTAATTATTGAGAAATATTAAAAAACTTAGCCGCAGTTTCTTTTTTACAGACGCTCAAACATTGAATGAAGATTACTCAGCACTCATCTGACCAAAATCGATCAATTTTTTTTTATGTTAATTCTATGTAGCTGTAGAATTAAATTCGGTCAAAGTTTGGGCATCTGTAAAAAAGAAGCTGCAGTTAAATTTTTTTTAAAATTTCTGGTCAATATTTCTCAAAAACTACCCTTTTAATTCGATAAAAAATTTTCACCGGATTTTGGATGAATAGCTGATAAAAAATCATTTAAAGTTTTCTAATTTGACAGCAACTGATTTTTTACAGATGCCCAAACTTAGAACGAAGATTACTCAGCACTCACCTGACCAAATTCGAGTTATTTAATTCTATAGTTACATAAAGAAAATTGATCAAATTTGGTCAGATGAGCGCTAAGTAGTAATCTTCGTTCAAATTTTGAGCGTCTATAAAAAGAAATCTTTTTTTAACTTTTGATCTACCTATCCAAATTCTACAATTTCATAGGATTAAAATAAAAAAAAATTCATTGAATTTAAATGATGGTTCATTCAAAAGAAAAAAATTTACCTGATTTTACTTGTGTATTCATGATATATCACTGCTTGTAAAAAGAAAGTCTGAAAATAAATAAGAATTCCACAGAAAACGATGAATAAAAAATAGTTAGTTATTGTAAATCATGGAATTCAAGGGATTCACAGGATTCATGGAATTCCAAAAAAAATATCTAACTAAATCAAAGAGCAATAATTTTGATCGAGTAACAGGTACACTCGGTGATGCTAGAGGGTTTACGAAAACCGTAAAAATAAAAAATGAGACTTGACAACTGGTTTGATTACAGGTGGTTGTTAGGAGATTGATGAGAATTAGGAGTTTTATGTTTATGTCTAAGAAAAAATAAATGGTTAGCCTTAGCGTTTTTACTATATAAAAATAAAAAAAGTACGTAGGTACAAGAATAATAATAATTTTCGATATGTATAATTCAATTGGATCATCAGGTAACACAAATGTCAGTCTTAAAAAGAGATTTAATGCCAAAAGATAATTATACCGGTATGGACCAGAGATTTAGTTCACCGGCCCTAGTGATTTTTAGCATCTCTAGACAAGCCGCATGTTCAATTTCGGCTGGAGAAATATCGGGTTTGATTTTTTGCTCCGTTTTTGATTGACTGTACTACGTAAACATGTGACGATCCTTTTAAATTTTGATATTTTTTCTATCTTCTGACGAAGGTTTCTTAACAACTATGCGATTAAATTTAATAAATTTTTTTTTATTTAATTATAAAAATTTGTAGAATTGAAATGAAAAAAAGCTTCATGGATCTTGACTTGGTAGTTATTGAGAAAACTTTATTTGAAGTTTTTTAAAACTATTAAAAATCATGAAAAATATGACTACGGTTTTTAAAATTTTAATTAAAATTCTCAATAACTGCTAAATAAATTCGATGAAAATTTTTTATTTTAACAAAGTTCTTGGATATATTATAAGGGAGTTTTTTTAATTATATACATTATTCAATAATACGTATATTAAGAAAGTTTGATTTATAATGAAATTAGCACATGACTTTGTAATCAAGTTTGATAAACTCTATATGCGCATACCTTGCTAAATGCACATTCAGATTTTGGATCAATATTAACTTGACCTTTGAAAATGTACTTTTCTTAGTATTCTTAAATGCACGTTGTTAACATTGTTAAAGTGTGATCTCGGGTTCGTGACTTAAATGACCTGACTGTGTTCAATTGGTGTGATTATTGGTATGTATTGTAATTATCACATAAATTATTAAATTCATATTATTTTCATATCAAATTCATGATTGTACAGATATATAGATTTCTTTACTGTAAGATAAATTTTTTTTTTTATTTCTAAATTTTAATCGTGATTACAAGCTAACATGTTAAAATTAATTGGATTCATAATGATGTAAGCTACTGAAGTAGGCAAGTGTAATCTTTGTAGCAAAATGACTTTTTTGGGATTGTATAACTTATAGTCTCAATGGGATATTTTATTGGCAAAAATCAGTTTCATATTGCAGTCAGATCTAAGTGCGGTCTTTGAGAGTTATATTGAAGTTAACAAATTAAATCGATGTAATTGAATATTTATCATTAATATTTAAATGCTAGAGAATTTTCAAAATGACACCCCGATTAAACTGATAACTTCTTTTTTATTAAATAAGCCAAAAAGCAAAATTATATATATATAATTTAGGTGCATCGATTAATTGACTCATAATTAGATGATTTAATGTGACATATTGGTGTCTGCTGGTGTAAATGTACGTACATACGTATCAAGAAGTATGTGGCATATGGTTTATTAAGTAATTGGTCGATTTTGCATCTGATGGGTTAAACCTTCCTTGTGACTTATTCGTATACCAGGAACGGAGTTTGTACAACGTACAACGTAGGGTATGGTTTATAGGCATCTGAAACTGGGGTGTTGCACATCATATGATTTAATATCATAGTGCAGCGTTATATGTAATTTACACTATGTAAGATTTTTAAATTTTTGATCATTTTTATCATTATAGTAATTTATTAGTATTTTTAAAACATTCTAACTCTCACTCTAGTAAAGCAAATTCAATTCTGTAACTTGCAAATGATATTAGAATCAAGTAATTTTAAAACTATATTGAGGCATTTTTAAATTTATTTTATTAATGTAATTAAAAAATCAAATGTTTTTTTAGTTGTGAATTTTAATAGTAAAATGGTTATGATTTATAAGTTTATACTATAGAAACCTAAAATATTTACATAGAATTCTGAAATGTTACAACATAGTTTTATAGCCATGCTATTTATATATCATTTACAATTTATAGAATTGAATTTGTTTTACCAGTGCAAGAATTAGAATGTTTTAAATATGGATTTAAGTATTATATATAATATCAATACAATATTATTAGTTTAAATTTATATTTAAAGCATTCTAACTCTCACACTAGTAAAGAAAATTCAATTCTGTAAATTGTAAATGATATATAGGTAGCATGGTTATAAAACTATGCTGTTACATTTAAAAATTTTATGTAAATATTTCAAGTTTCTATAGTATAAACTTATAAATCATAATTATTTTACTATTAAAATTTGCAACTAAAAAAACATTTGATATTTTAATTATATTAACAAAATAAATTTAAAAATGCCTTAATATAGTTTTAAAACTATTCGATTCTAATATCATTTTCAAGTTACAGAATTGAATTTACTTTACTAGAGCAAGAGTTAACTATTTTTTTTTTTTTTGGTATTAAGGTGATCTCTTTGGTCTTTTGACTTTTATTAATCACTTATCGATATTGTGATTCAATAAACTACTACAGC